TCCACTCAACTGGAGTATTCCCATTAGAACTTGAACTAACGATGGAATGTTTTCAAGAGGTTTCTTGGTTGTGCTGACTTCGATGCTAGGTTGATCGAGTGCGCTATTAGTTAGGTGGATGTAAAAGGCTTTGTCTGTGTAAATGGTGAAAATATAAAGAGTATTGTGTTTTATGTATAAAAAAGGTTAAGCTTAAAAAGTATCTTGAAAAAAGTGATGATAAATTTAACAGTTATGAAAGAATTTGTTTGATTTTTAGAATTTCGCGCAAAGCTACACGAGGGCTATCTGCGCTAGCCGTCCCTAATGTAGCACTGTAAGATTAGCTGCCTTCACCACCCACCGCTAACTCTTTTACCAACGAATAGTGGGATTGACCATCACATTAAAACGCTCCCACGGATGAAAGGGCGAGCAAGTATAGTGCGATGGGGATTCGAACTTACGACCCTCAGATTGCGAGTCGAGCGCTCTAACCACCTGGTCATGCCGAGCCATTATGAATGAGAGTCAATAACATATCGAAGTTTCTTTGGCATATCATTTACAAATTATTCATATTAATGTCATAGCTAAAAACGAAATCTATAGTATTTTGACATATAAATAAATACGTTGCTCCAAATCTATTATAACTACTCATATTTCAGTTTTTTCAATCTCGCACACCTTGAATCAAATTATAAGTAGCACGTCCTCCTAGATATCCTTGTCTATTATAAATGCATTATTGATAAATAAAATGAAGTTATTATGAACATCATCAAGCTGGTTCATAAAAAAAGTGTTTCTTGACAACAAAATGTTAAAACAACTTTACTTAGATTTGGTTAACTAGTAATCTAGCTCCATTTATATGATTCGAAATGCACACATATTTGAGCATGTGATATCAGCATGAAATAGTCTTCCAATAAGTTACTTGGGAGGGCAGATAATATCTACCCAAAGAAATGTTTAAAGGGTGCCGTGATTGTTCTGCTTGTGTTATTTAATATCAAACGAACTGATTAGAAAGCTTACACACTCACAAGATGGTGAATAGAGTATAGTTATAAACCAGAAATGAAAATGGGTATTATATATATAGTAACACGTGTTATGTAGGGAGGTTTCGATGGAAAACAAATATTATACATGTAATGCAAATATCAGAACTTTATACTAACACAAGGTTTCAGTTTTGGCTTGTTCAGTCTTGTAGAGCAGCGCCCTCTAGTAATATAGAATCAATACTTTTGATTATATTTTAAATATAATTACATAACTTAAAAGGGTCGCTCGTATTTATAGTAGTTATTTTAAGGCAAGAAATAATCACTCTCAACTGTTCTTGTCTACTACAAAACCATAATTTCCAATAGCAGCGCTATCTAGTAATGTAAAATAACAATATCGTAATATAATTACACAATTAAGAATGGTTGCATAATTTGTTATTCTAAAGCAATACTCAGTTGTGTTAGCATGCTAAGAAAGCATACTGAGTAATAGCAGTAGTCTAGTAATATAGAATCACAAAATATTTTATTCTATTTTCATATAATTACGTACATAAAAATATTTAAAAAGTGTTCACAAACACTAATAAAAGATCATGGCAGGGTCGAATGATCGAAAGTTTGTTTTTAATAATAAAAAGCTTCTATGCAAACATTATAAACGCTCAAGCCTATATGCGTCCATTTTAGAATGACCGTGTGCATATAATCAACTCGCAAAAAATAACAGAAAACGTTTATTATTATATGACAACACTAACATTTATTCGGATAATGTTGCATGATTTTCATTCCCATAATGTGAATATATCTATAGAAATGCTTGTTTCTCATACGAAGCTATGTTTTCTTCAGTTTCTGAAACAACACTAAAGTTGTCGAACACCGGTTTTTTCACCAGTTTTATCGGCAGTATTTTCTTGCATCATTATAATTGTAGTCCCTTCACTTTCATATTTTAAACATATGACAACAAATAAAAATCTGTAAAACAGTAATCCTGCATGTATTATATAGTAGCTGTAATTCAGCTAATACGTTAAGCCTACAAGAATCATGTCTTTTATTGGAGGATAAAGAAATATAAAATAGTTAAAAGCACCTTTGTTTTCAGTACAATACCTACAGAGGGAGGTTTGGTTTCATAAATACATTATTATATAAAATGATGACTAAGATGATAAAATGTTCTTTACAGGCACCTAATAAAAATATACTAATTTTATTTAAAAGAAAGCTAACTGGACAATTTCAAAGTAGCATATTTGTTTGTAGATTCAGACTGGAATTTTAACAACACACAGGGGCAAAGACAACAAAACGGAGTCTTACAATAGTAATCAGTCAAGCCCACAGATCTAATGGAAAAGGATATCCATGGTAATATCTTCCAATCGAAACTACAGAGATAATAAAACATGCTGAGCCAATTCAAACATTTGATTATAAGTAGACAAAGAATACACTACTTCTGTATCTGAAACAGTTAACCCCTAAAGTAAGTAAACATATGCTGCACTTTCCAAAGCTTTTGCCAAACTGAGAAGATTTCTGAAAATCATCTATCCAACTGACACTACAAGTGAATATCATCTATCCAACTGACACTACAAGTGAAAATCATCTATCCAACTGACACTACAAGTGAAAATCATCTATCCAACTGACACTACAAGTGAAAATCATCTATCCAACTGACACTACAAAGAGAATAAACATTCTTCCTATTAGAAAATTACTAATATATCTACTTTTCATTATTCTGGAGTAATTGTACTAAATATTTACCAAATGGCATAATAAAAATATCTTGCCCATGTAACATAAATAAGAAATCTTGTGACACACATTTCTGGGCTAAGTTTTCACTTGTATTGTAAGGGGAAAAGGTATGGTTGTTAAGCCTTTCTGGTCAACCACATTTTCAATTAAAAGTGTGTGTGTGTGTGTGTGTGTGTGTAAAATTCAAATAAACTTACAACAAGAAAAAGTAAAATACCAGCTAATTTTTAAAAAATGTCGTAAAAC